CCTGCAGAAATGATAATGGCACCAGGAGATCTTAAAGCATACAATGAGGCGACAGAATGCTGGATTTGCAAGGGACCATTTTAAAACCAGCACCAGAAATAGTACAAAAACTCGAAGAAGCAAAGCATAATTTATTAGAAATCAAAGAATGGGAATCATGCATGGAAAAAGAACATCCTAAAAAGAAAGAGGCACAGAAAAGATATCGAGAAGCTTTAAGTGCACTTAATCGAAAAGTAAAAGATCATGATCATATAAATGGAAAGTACCAAGGCCCAGCTCATGACTCTTGTAATAAAAAGTTACGCATAGGCTCTTTCGAAACCAAAGTGCCTCTTATTTGTCATAATTTTCGAGGATACGACTCTCATCCACTCATGAAAGTTGTTTCAAAATTTACGGCCAATGAGCTAAATTGTATTCCAGAGAATATAGGAAAGTACAAGGCCATGTATATTGGTCAACTCCGATTTTTTGACAGCTTCCAACATATGGCAATGAGATTAGATAAATTAGTAGCATGTCTAGGAGAAAACCCAGAAAAGTTCTCTCTAACTGTCAAGCACTTTACTGCAAAAGGTAATTCGATAGAAAATATTAAACTTCTTTTCCGAAAGGGCATATTTCTATATGATTGGACAAATTCATAGGCTAAATTTGACAGAACAAGCCTCTCATCTAGAAAGAATTTTTATTCGCTTCTCAGTCAGCAAAATATCAGTAAGGAGGACTATGAACACGCTCAAAAAGTATGGCAGACATTTGAGATGAAAAGTTTCGGAGAATACCATGATTTTTACCTTGAAGCAGATGTACTGTTACTTGCCGATGTGTTTATGAATTATACTATTATATGTTTGCAAGATGATGGTTTAGACCCCTCTCATTACGTCTCAGCACCAGGAATGTTCAATGATTCTTTATACAAGAGTAGCGGAGCTGAACTCAAGCTTATGACAGATATGGATGAGTATCTAATGGTTGAGAAAGGTATTCGAGAAGGTATGACATTGGCAAGTCACCAATATGCCAAAGTGAATAATCCTCAATGTCCTAACTATGATCCAAGCAAACCAATATTTTGGACCATGTATGAGGACTTGAACACCTTATATTCAGGTACAATGACGCAATATATGCCTACAGAGATAATAGGCAAGGTAGGTCCAGAAGAGGTACCAGATATTCAAACTATTGCGCCAAATGCAGAAATAGGCTATATGCCCGAAGTAGACTTAGAAGTTCCGGCACACTTATATGACTTCTTTGCAGACTACCTTCTAGTACCAGAAAAGCAAATAGTACTTGAAAACTGGTTAAGTCTATATAACGCAAAATTAGTACAAGACAAGGAAGTGGGAGGTGGCAAATATGTAACAGGAGAAAAGCTCGTCCAAACCCTTTATCCTAAAAAAAACTATGTGTTCCATTATCGTGCACTCCAGCTATATATGAGACAAAGGCTAAAGGTTACAAAGATCCATGGCATACTCAAGTTTAAGCAATCCTCCTGGATGAAAGAATATATTGAGAAAAATATTCGTAAACGCAAAATAGCAAAAGCCAATAGTGATGAGTTCAGGGTTATGTATTATAAGCTAAAAAATAATGCAGTCTTTGGTAAACAGATGGAGAATGTCCATAAACATATGAGAGTAGAGCTTCTCCGAACAGAAGAAGATAAAAAAATCAGGCGATTAACAAGTTCGCCATTATTTGTAGGTTTCAAGCAATTCGAAGGAGGAATTACAGCCATCCATATGTTAAAAAGTGCTGTAACTCTAAACAAGCCAATCTATGTAGGACAGGCCATTCTTGATATTAGCAAAGCTATGATATTTAACTTTTGGTACGGTTACATAAAGCCTCGCTACAGGGAAAAGGCCCGCCTACTTTACACAGATACAGACTCACTTATAATGATTATAGAAACTGAGGATATTTATAAGAATCGTGCAGAGAGACCAGACATCTTCGATCTCAACAACTCAGGAGCTTTATTCTTGATGAAGGACAAAACTAAGGGCTCATCTATAGATGAAGCAGTATGTTTAAAACCAAAGATGTACTCTATCCTACCAGTTGGGCATGATTCAAAGACTCCCGATAATCCTGATTCAGAAGACTCTAAAAAGAAGCATAATATCCAGAAGGCAAAGGGTGTTAAGAAATGTGTGGTTAAGAGAGAACTTCAACATGATAAGTTCCTAGAATGTCTTAGGAACAAGAAACTAACTCGGCATGATATGTATGATCTCCGTAGTTATGATCATCAAATATATCTGGAGAGAGTAAATAAAATCAGGTTAAACTCATATAATAACAAATGCTGGATCTTATTTGATGGAATTCGAACCCTCCCCTATGGACATTAGTGAATTGGAATATATAAATGCCTGGTAGCATCTGAAATAGTTCTCGAGGAAGCAGAAGAAAGAGCTATGAAAGCTGGACTTCGTTTCAAGGAATAGATGCTTTATAACAAATATTTTTTAGATAAAAAAATTATTAAAGAATGCTATAACTAATTATAGAAGTTTTTTTAATGTTATATTAGAAACATACAAAGCCTTAGTTAATAAAATCCACGCGTTAAACATGCCTAATATTCAAGATATTTTTGAGAAATGGAAAAAAATAGTTATACCTGATACATGTTATCTGAATATGGCTTAAACTATATTAGTAATTTAAAAACACCAGAAGCTTGGCTACGATTTGTGAAGTATTATCTGCCCGAATATATACGTAGACGTTTATTTATACCAGGATATGAAATAAAAGATAAGAACTATTGAAAAAACTTTGTATTCCGTATTAAAAATAATTTAACTAGAAGAGAATATATAGTTAATAACTCTGAATTTAGAGAATTTAAAACATAAGTAGCATATTTTAAAACTTTGTATATAAAAACTCAACCAGCTATTATCATCTAGCGAGCATATCATTTATGGAAAAAACGAATAAATTCAGCTATAATAATTCAGCGTGCAGTGAGGAAATGGCTTTATCGACCGGTGGCACATTAATGAAACATGCCCAAAATCGGTATTATCAAAATGCTAATAAACTTGAAAATTTGAGGTAACTCAGAAGATTTTTTAACACAGGTATAAAACTGTTAATATAAAATAAAAATCTATGAAGTGTATACTCCTTCCTTCACAATTGCTATCGAAGATCTAGCGATCCTGGCTCATACTAATTAATTAGTGAATGAACAGATCGCCAAATCCGAAATGAAATTTCATAAAATCTGCAAACTAATTTTTTTAATCATGAGGGTGTTTAATGTATAAAAATGAGATAAGTATAAAAAAAATGTGAAATACTTATCTGGTTATACTTTATATTAACACATACAAATCTAATCACAAATTTTACTCTTGAATATGTCTACCTCTACTTCCACATCAATTGCTTCTATTAATAACATCAAAAATCTCGTATATAATATTCTAAAAACCTTCAAGGATAGCATTATTAAGGGTAAAAAAATTACAAAACTAGGGCCATGCTCTGAATGTGACAATGATATTTTAATATCTTCTCTCAAAGCATTCACATACCTAGCATGCGGACACCTTTTTCATAAACTCTGTATCAAAAAAAAGCTTTTACTTACTGTTCCAAACACATATCCATTCCCAGGTTGTGAAAAGAATATGGAAATATTAGATCAAGCCAATCCCCTCGGCACTGTTTCCAATTTGCCATTAACTGATCCCAAGAGGGCCTTCCAATCAACTGGAATTTCACCTTTGATGAGTGAAACATTTGTCCTATCTTCACCACCTATACGGATGGAAGAGATCGAGGATATGGCAACCCAACAAGTTAAAAGTAATTTGAGGTGTGCCAAATGTTCTGAAGATCTTTCTTCATGTCTCCCATCTATAGGCTTTCTTCGGTTCTCTCCTCAACTTCAAGGTCCCTCAAAACCACTCATATACTTAACCTGCAAACATATCATCTATTACAATTGTATCGATAATCCACAAAAACTGTGTCCTATATGTCCACCAACTGATATGGAAATTGATGATGGTGTTATAGTAACTGTTACCCAAGAGTCAAGTACTGCCCAGAAAAAACGTTCTAGTGGTTCTTCAGAAAAATCCTCTAACAAGAAAGCAAAAAAAGTTGGTGGAAAGGTCTCGAGTATACTAAAACAACTTATAGAAGAATTATTAACTGATATTCCCATTGTTGATAGAAGCTCAGAGGAAAGAAGTTACACAACTGATACCAGGGGTATTTTTTTGAAACTTTCTAATAGGATTGATAGTGCCAAATCTAAAAACAAAGATACATCTCGTGACCTTATCACCAGCTACTTTTATTTTGGGGAGGCTTTAAATAATCAATATAAGGAGCTAAAACCCACTTATGGTAAAGATGGAGCTAGGGCTTTGGTCAAAAGTGAGGTTAGGAAGGAAATTCCTGAGGCAAAATTCTCCGATGATGCTTTAAAAAAAAGAACAGAAAAAGCCCGAAAGATGTTTAAAATTTTCAATAGTATAGGCAAAGAAAAATAACACGGGTAAAATCTATCTCTCTGGGTTTTATCCTGAATCTTACCATAGATGATACCGATTATGTAATTGCTGAAGTTTTAAAAGGGTCAGGAAGCGTGTAATACTGCGCTACATTCTACTGCGCCCTGGTGACATGGTGTCCCGCCTTGGCAATTAGAAAAATAGTTTTTTTTTGCAGTTGTATGATATTTCAAAAATATATTATTTAAAACATTTAATAAAAGTTTTACCCATGTCCCACATGTGTTAACGATAACCTGGTGACATGTGTCAACCAGAAAAAATAAACATTACTTGATCACTGCTACCTAATGACATGTGTTAGAATTTATTTCATATAAAATTTATCTGAGGCTTATCATTATGCATAACTTATTTGTGAGACGGGGCACAATCTCAAAGTGCCATTTTCCATTTTTCTGGAATGCAAATGTGAAAATTCTCGAATAAATTCCGCATAATGAAATTTATCTATATCACCTTACAAGGCTTATCGTTATGCATAACTTATTTGTGAGACAGGGCACAATCATGACTTTATTTTGTGGGGTGCCAACTCCGGACCGAAACTTTTTCTAGCCTAAATGCGTACAATGTATGCATGTACTACGGCTTTTTTTGATGAAGAGCGCATGTTTTTGCTTCTATCTAACCTTTCTAACATTTTGAGTTTCAGAGAAGAGATGAAATAAAAATATATAAAAGGGCAGTATCTCGAATTTATTGTTGTTTATCGCTTATTAGTGATTTTGATTACCCTGTTTTATATTAACAAATATAATAACAATATTTTTTTATTACAATCAACTACTGAAAGACGCAAATATGTCTAGCTGGCCTTATCGTTATGAGGCTTATCACTGTATAGTTTATTTGTAAACGGGCACAAACACAAGTGCCACACATTACAGGTTTTAGCCACGTATATATATTATTTTTTTTCTGTTAATAAACAAATGAAAAAAAATTACATTGAAAAGTGGCATATCTTTAGAGGGTGGAAGCACGGGTGTAAGGTTTGTGATGAATGCAATCATCATTCACACCTAAATGTGAAAAAAAGTAGCGGATGGAAAGTATAAGCAATGTGAATGCGAAAATTTCGAATAATTAACGTTAAAATCAGAATTAGCGATAATAATACTTGAACAAAATTTATCGTTACGTATCATAATGTAATATAAAATTTATCTGTAAATTCAGTTTGATATAAGTTATGGTCTGCACAGAATTATTCGTACGTCATTTTTTTTCTTGTATTCCATGCTCTAATAAAAAATTGTATATAATGATTACTAAAAATGTCGTCTACTTCAACTCCAATCTCTCCAACCTCCAATTCTTCTAACAATGCAAACGGAGAAAAACAGGTTCCTACTTTGGCTGAAATGGTTAAACAATTAAATATAGAAAAACTTATAGAATTTTTGCGTGATGAAGATTTGCAACTTACTGATTCTTATTTCGAAGTCCTATGCAAAGAGGAAATTTTCGGTCGTACATTTCTTAAGATTCTAAGGATGAATTTCGTAGCTTAGGATTGAGTTTTGGATCTGCGACGGCTCTCGTGGAGTTTGCAAAAGAAGTCAAGGATAAAAAATTGAGTGCATTTTCGTCACATCGCACTCTGAAAGACTTTAAGGAAGTTTTAGCGAAGTGTGGCATTGACATAACAAGTATTCCACAATTCAGCCGGGTAAGGCAGATGTACATGCACAGGTAGAACAATAAACCTTTTTTTACAAGTATTCTTTCAAAATCTTTGGTGTAATATGCATATTTTCCGAATATTTTCCATATTATCTAAATTCTTTCCGTATCTTTTTTACATGTAATTTAAAAGATGGAAAATGTTTATAAGATACTTAGAAAGGTTTATTGTTCTACCTGTGATAAATAGACACGGGTTTATTCGTTTTTGCTGACTCTTTCTATTATGTGAATACAGAATCACACGCGCTCGATGAGAAAGACAAAACGCTTCGTCATTGCATCTCGGATATATTGTTAAAACTGGAGAACATGGAAACAGTAGCCGACAGCAATAAAGGCATGCGTAGAGAATATATTTCTTCGATTCTTCATGCATTAGTTCGTATAGCAAAGTTAATATCATCCTGTGTTTGCTCCGCTAAAAATTTGGTTATATGTTTTCTGATTAGCTACGGAATGGCATTTTATCAAACTCGCTACGGAAGAGTTATATTATACCAGCAAAAGTGAATATCAGATTAATTTATCCAAAATGGTATTGAAGGAGGATCTTGAATCAATCAGGAAGGGTGTTAAAACAGTAATTGGCATACAAAAATTAACAAAAAATAGATAGATAAATTTTTTAGACACAGAATGTCCTGCTCCA